CACCCAGTTTATTCCTTCACAGTCCTTATAATCATCTCTTTAATTTTAGCCCTGTTTAACTGTCTGGCACACCCTCTGGCCATAGAATTCCATGGAGTAGGAGCTTGATCTTATTCCCAGCGTCAAGCACATAATGGTTTTTAAATGGAATTGATTCCAAGATTGGCCGATGAGGAATGGGTCTGTTGTTATACTCAGCTTTCTGAAAACTTCAGTATCGATACTGAATCCCTTCCTCTCACATTTCACAAGAAGCTAGACTTTATTTGTAAGTGGAAAGGGAAGAAAATAACAGGAAGTGGAGGCAAGAGGAAGAAGAAATGAAGAATTCTGAAGTGAGGAGAGGAATTCTGGAGTGACTCCACCACAGGCCTGTCCCCTGCCTCATCCCAGGTGGCATCCTGTCATCCAGTAGGAGAGTGGCCGGCCCGCACAGTGCAGCCTTCATTTTACCCTGAGGAGAGAAAAGCCTGGTTCTTGCTTCCAGCTGACAAGCTGCTCCCCCGCCCACATGACCTGGAACTTAGTGAGGCTTCAGCACAGAGCGACACCCAGCATCCCCTTCATTCCCAGCAGTCTAATCTGTCCTCCTTTGGCCCCTCTGATTCTTCCTTTCAATTCCCTTATCCGTGTTGTTTGCCCTCTTCCCCCATTCAGTTTGCTTCCATATATATTTTTTAATAGATATACTGAGGATTGAATGCAGGACCTCCTGCATGCTAAGCATACACTCTACCACTGAGCTCTACACTCCCCACCACAGGCTTTTAAAATTTTATTATTTTATTATTATTATTTGCTTCCACATTTTCGAATCCTTATCTCCCTCTGAAGGAGGAGAGCACTGTTACAGGGCTGAGAGTTACTAAAAAAAAAAAAAATACCCAGAGGCAGCAGATCTTAGGAAATCAATGCTGGCATAAAAGAAATGGGGCAGCAGGCCCCTCAGTAGTGGAAGAGTCTGGGGGAGTAATCAGAGAGCTTCCCAATAGACAAGGGTCTTTGCTTCCTGTGGTTGACGAAATGCATACCTGCTGGTGGCTACACAGCATGTTAAGGTTCTTACAGATATTCATTCATCAACATATAAGTATTGAGCACCAGCTGTATGCTAGGTACTGGACTAGATGCTGGTGACATGGAAAATCAAAATGACTCCAACCCTCCAAGGGCTTCCAGAGAGCCAAGTGTAAATAGGTTATCTTAGTCACTCTGTGTTCATCGGTGTTGGAGGGGTGGTTGTTCTGGAAGGGTCTCTTCTTTAAAAAGCTTTATATTCCCAAAGCTAGCATGCAGGATGGACTGGGGGAAGGTACATCAGCAGCATTCTTGACTGTCTTCACCAGAGAAAGGAATGATGGTGAAAGTCTCACTTCTGAGGCTTGTGCCATCCACGAAGTCTTCCTGGAAGGGGCCAGGGAGACATCAACATCCCTGATCAGTTACCATCCGCACGCCAGGGCCACTGCCCTTTGGTTTGTTTCCCTTACTCCCCCTTTTCCCGTTTATCTCAGCATCTTTCTCCCCACCTTATCCCTGCCCCACCCACCCACTTGCCACCCTGCCATGCAGGCCCCAGCGTGGGAGGAAAAGAGCTCCCAGCTCTAGGCCCCTGCCCCTACCAGGGCTTCACTTACTTCCTGTCCCACCTCCCATCCTCCCCTGCCCACTTCACACACCCCACACAAACACAACACACAGACACACACCCACTTCCCAGACCTTTCTCCTGACTTCAGTACACAGGCAGTAGGGCTGGTTGACTGCAGAGGAGTAGAAGAGACTGGCTGGGCTGGAGGGGCAGAAATAAGGCTTCAGAATAAAGCGTGTGTGTGTGTGTGTGTGTGTGTGTGTGTGTGTGTCTCCCCAGAATGCGCCCTGAATGTCAGTCTGGAATATGCTGTCACATGCTGGTCCCGCAGCTCACAGCTCAGGCTGGGGCTGGGTGGAGTCACCACCACAGCAGCGGGAACTACTGGGCTAAGAGCTCTGCCTCCCAGACCAAGG